ATTATCAGCAGGCAAGATGGCAATCCCTTTTTGCCAGTTCTGTACATCATATGCAAAACGTATCAAAATAATGGCTTGTGTAGTAGTGCGGCTGTTTTAAAATACCGTAGGAAAATCAAAGAAAGCCATCAGAATCTATTTACCGTAATTCACTCATAGTCTTGACTATTGACCACCATGCAATAGTTATGTCAGGACCGTCAAAGCAGTGTCATGCTACAACTTGTCCAGGAATATTCAGCAATTTTTCTACCTTTGAATAGCACCATTAACAATCGCAATAATAATAACATGGGTTAAAAATGCATAATTTGTCTTGATGAGCACTCCATTTTTTGAACTACATTTTGCACTCTGGTTCTACAAGTCACGCCAAGTTCCACTCGAGTCGCAATGCCAAGGCTCTGCCCCAAGTTGTAATAGTAACAAAAGCCATCTTTGCCACATCCCCAACAGTATAGAGAGTGGGATATAAAACCCTCAAAATGGGCTAATTTAAGCAAGACAAATAAACAACTTTGGAAAGAGTTCTGTATTTCTGATCCTCAGGGCATTTTGACAAAAGGATATCACAGACACGTTATTAAGACACATGGGAACTATTCTAAATTGTACAAGAAAATTTATTCTAAATGTGGTAAATAACTGAAAGGGGAATCACAGCCACATTTAGCAGGAGCAGGGATTATCTTGTGACACACTGTGACCATAAACCATTCATTCTGCTTTTGAACTGACTTTGCTATTTTTTTTTTCTGCCTGGAGTAAATATAATACATTTTGGTAGGACATGGTTCAGTAGTCTGCCTTAGCTAGACTGTTCCATTACATCTCGATCACATGAATAACAGATTAAAACAGAACCTTAAAGTCAGCCTGTGCATAGAGAATTAAAGATTTTCTGCAATAATTCCACTCCGGCTGGAATTTGAATATGAAACGGGTGTCATAATAATCATCCTCAAGCTCACTCATTTTCAGAAATAACACCTTCAGTGCTAAATTTAAACATGCTCTTTACACAGCATAGAAGACAATTTTCACTGGCTCTCATCTATATTAAGCACTAAGTCTGGAGCTCGAGCATTTCTCAAAATAATAAAGACAAAGAGGAAGAGTGAGAGAGAGAAGATCTGATGTGAGAAGATATTTCTCAAGAAAATGCAAAAACAAAACACGAACTCATTACAACACATCTGACAGGTCGGCGAGCGCTCTAACTTATTGTATCAACCCAACCAATAGTCATCAGACTGTTCACATGCTGGGTCAGTGTCATGTGATCCAAGGAGGAAGTGGGCTCACATGAGGCAAATAAAATGGCATTAGATGAAATTTTCTGCAATGCCCCTGACGCTGAGCAGTCTTCTTGTGCTTTATCTCTATTCCATGCCACCAACAGCGAAGTGCCACTCTGCTGGCTTCGATGTGTACGTAACAAATAAATGTAAAGACATTTCGCCCATGAAAAATGCTGAACCGGGTAACAAGTGACAACTGCCCAGACGAGCAGTGCTTTCATTGAGAGTGAAATTTTTTGCCACACACGAAAAGCGCAAAAAACTTTTTTTAAAAAGCCATGGCAAATCTGTAGCAAAATCTGATGATATTAGGGGGCACAAAGCGAGCATGACTCTTAAAAACATGTGCAATAGGATCTCTGTGGACACAGTGGGGTTCTGTCTTCACTACATTTGGCCCTGACAATGGGGTCATGGATAGGCTAAGCAGACAACATTCTGCTGCAAGACATCACTGTTCATCCTCAATATCACGGCAAACATTACATAGGCATGCTAGTAAGTTTCACAAGAAGACAGTTACATCACAGCTACCGTGCAGAGTTTTTCGGCCACACTGAGGGAAGCCATGTTGTCCTGACATTAAAAACAAAAAGTCACTTTTTAGAAGATTAGATATGACTTAGAATAAACATATTTCTACCCATTGTGAGACAATAGGGAACCAACATGCAATTCAGATTTCATATTCATTCACGGGTTGTACTAAATACATGCAGATTGAACTGATTGAACAAAGTGAAACGTTTAATATACACTACTGTGGGCGTGTGGTAAATGACAAAACAGGAGACGAAAGCAAGTCATGTCTCGTTTACTATCCGCACAAAACGGATTATTTACAGAGCAAGCAGCAAGCTACTCTCCTTCAACGCTGAAATGTCTATCATCCCTTCGAACCAAGTCCCCTCCCCTAACGGGTCAGAAAGAATGTCTCTCGTTTGTCGATCGCCACACAGCCCCATCCAAGAATTCACCGCAACAAAAGTGTACAATCGAACAGGCAATGATGAACAACGTCAAGAAAAACAGTCAATGCGGTGGAGGGCTGCACAGGCGGCCAGAATGTCTGTGCTTAGCAGGAGGATGTTCAGGGGCCAAGGGTTGCTTTGGAGCCGGGGTCGGGCCGGAGACCGCAGAGGGTGGGCGCCCTGGCGTTTCCCTGCCTCTTTGAAACTGCAGGGTTTGCGTCTTCCCGTTGTCTCGAGTCAGCGGACCAGAGGCTACTGAGGTACCCAGGACTAAGGGGAGGCTCAGAGAGGATTGAGCCGTTTCTGTTGCTCTTATTTCCCTTTGGAAAGTTCAATATTAAAGAAGACCCCTCTCTGTCCATTTTTAGAACTCGTTTTTCAACATTTTTATTCTATGGCTTTGACTCAGTATGATACTTGGGCTTGTTCTAGTGTTTTATGGTGTCTGCTGTATTTGTGTTAGTCTTGCTTGACGTATGGATGGATGGATGGATGGATGAATGGATGGATGGATGGATGGATTGTCTTTTTTAATGCAAGACTGATTTTTACTCCATGTACAGAACTTTGTATGCAGCAATGGTTTTAATGTGCTGTATAAATAAATAAAGTTGAGTTGAGTGGCGTTATTCCGAGGCTTTATTCGATAAAAAGTTCTCCCGAATGATCTCAACCTCCGCTTCAAATGGTAGTCTTCTAGAAAATGTCTTTTTAACTGTTTGTTGTATATAAATAGTCGGGTCACTGAGAACGTGTCTATGAGCGGGCCATTCTGAATTTTGAAAATTGTGCACATCCATTAACCATCCATCCAGCGCTCCATCTTTTATCCCACTGAGGGTCGCAGGCAGCTGACTTTGTGTGAAATGCAGACTACATTCTGAAGAAGCTTATCCACACAATTTGGCTAATTTACATAATAATTGGCCCACATCTAGTTTCTTGACCCTCCTACGAAGAACCGTGCTTTTCTCACCATGGGAGAACTACAGTGTCTGAAACCCATCCATTTCAAAGCCAAAGGGTAAGCATAGCTGCATTGAGTTTTGGAATGCTCAAATTAGCAGAAGCTTCTGGTAAGTAGCATATACTTGAAAACTCAGTGAAAGGATCGGTGAGAGGTATCTGTGTTAGGTTGAATGTGTACGCTGAAGTTAACAGTTTGGCATTTGCATATTCACCTCTTTTTCGGAGGAACATTTCATGTGTTATTTGCTAGAAGACTCAAATATTTGCGTTTTTTTTTATTCAGGCAACAGCCATGTCGAATGTAGAAATTTTGCTTTGGTGCAATCCTGTGGCCAAGGAACTTTGTTGGAGTAAGGTGAGGCGCTTCATTTAGTCAGGCTACAACTTTTTCGAACAGAAAAAAAATGGCTGAAAGCATTTTGTGGTATTTCTAGGAAATGACATATCTTTTTGGGGAGACATCAATTACTCACGCATTTTTGTTATTTGTGGCAGTCACTTGGTTGGAGTCAAATCACACCATATAATAGACGATTTTATGGTTAGAGAGCATCAACGTGCTCAAGTTGCTGACTACTTTCTAGTCAGTCAACATAGCGAATGTTTTTCATGTCCTGAGTCGCAACGGTAGCGTTTGAAATTAGCTACTTTGTAAGACAAAATTGATCCATTATAAATAGAAAAAATGCCAGAGGAATGAGGTTCATGTTAATTAATAATAATAATTGTTATTATTATTATTATTATTATAAATAGAAGAAGAAGAAGAAGAAGATCTATCAATCCATTCATTTTCTGATCCGCTTATCCTCACAAGGGTCACACAGGTGCGCTGGAGCCTATCCCAGCTGTCTTCGGGCAGTAGCAGGGGTACACCCTGAACTGATCGACAGGCAATCGCAGGGCGCACATCGACAAACAACCATACAGGCACGGAGAGAACATGCAAACTCCACACAGGAAGAAGGGGCCGGATTCAAACCCATGACCTCTGTAGTGTGAGGCGGATGTGCTCACCAGTTGTCCACCATGCCGCCTCATTTTGAGAAATAGTTCCTAATTTTATTATATTATATTATATTATATTATATTATATTATATTATGTGCACGGTGTCGAGTGGTTAGCATGTCTGCCTCACAGTGCATAGGTGCAGGGTTCGATTCCGGCTCCGGACTTCCTGTGCGGAGTTTGCATGTTCTCCCTGCGCCTGCGTTGGTTTTCTACCACATTCCAAAAACATGAATGGCAGGAACACTCTAATTTGTCCCTAGGTGTGATTGTGAGCACGAATGGTTGTTTGTCTTTTGCGATGGGTTGGCAACCAGTTCAGGGTGTACCCTGCCTATTGCCCGAAGACAGCCGGGATAGGCTCCGGCACACCCACGACCCTTGTGAGGATAAACGGATTCGAAAATGTATGGACAGATGGATGGATTATATCAGATATTATATTATACTATGTTATATTATATGATATTATTTTCTATAATATTATATGTGGCTGAGGAGCATCCGTTGCACTCTGACCTGTCTGATGTCCCCGAGCTAAAATGTGAAGTGGATGTTAACAAGACAACACCCAAATGTTGCATAACAGCGTGCGGCCAAAGGAAAAAAAAAAAACATCAACAATGAGCGGCGCTCTGGGTCAGCGGGAAGCCCATAACTCGCCCCGAACAGCACCTTACGAGAGGTCTGCGGCCTCATTATCACCGAAACACCAAAACCACCTCAACGTGCCAAATAACTATACTGACCTGCATTTCAACGGCTGACTCTTTAGCTCGTAGTATGTTTTTGGCTCCTCTTGTAAGTCTTCTCCATCATCGAAGTCGGGAACTATTCCTGATTCTGACTGCATACTTGAAGATGTCAACTTTTAGCGGAGGAGAACTCGTAAAACAGCTTTGCTTGGCGTCGTACGTCGACCCTGTGAAGCACTGACACCGCGAACTACATCTGTCCGGCACCCGGAGCTATGTAGTCCTGAACGCGGAGCCGCCAACCGACTGCCGGCACTGTCAGGTGCAAGTAAAATACAATGACCGACATGCACCGCGGCTGTCAATGTCATCGTGTACCCGATTGGTCGCTCTGTTGCTTTTTCACAAATTTTTCACATTTTGATTTTTGGATGACAGAAGCTTAACTGCAGCAATGTTCATATGTTTTGTACAACACCCCTGTGCCGTCTACCAACATGTACGTAAGCGTTGATGGCACGTGAAAAACGCCGACGTTTGTTCACTATTTTTGCAGCCTTCAAGCCTGGTAATTAGTGTAGGAAATAACCAAACTGAGCGCCATGTAGCCGTGCAGACGAAAATAATTCCCAAAGTATTCTTGTGCAACATGTTTTTAACCGGTGCTGGAAATTAACATTGTGTCACACTTTGTTACGAGTATTTTATTTTCAGGTATAACCTAGCTACTCAAGTATTTATTTAGCTGAAAATTTATTGCATCTATTTCCAAAATTTAAACGAACGGGTGTGTGTGTGTGTGTGTGTGTGTGTGTGTGTGTGTGTGTGTGTGTGTGTGTGTGTGTGTTTGTGCGTGTGTGCGTGTGTGTGTGTGTGATATCTATTTCCAAAATTTAAACGAACGTGTGTGTGTGTGTGTGTGTGTGTGTGTGTGTGTGTGTGTGTGTGTGTGTGTGTGTGTGTGTGTTCAGAGAAGCAAGATATTGCCCCTTTTTTTAAAATGTATGCTATTATTTAACAGTATGATATTGTAGGCACCAAGGATGATTTGTGGCAAATACGTTTTGTTCTCCATCCATCCATCCATCCATCCATCCATCCATTTTCTAATCTTCTAATCCTCACAAGGGTCGTGAGCGTGCTGGAGCCGATATCCCATCTGTCATCCGGCACTAGGTGGGGAACACCCCGGACTGGTTGCCAGCCAATCGCAATGTTTTGCCAATGTTTTGTTCTGTGCCAGCCAAAACACAACAATGATTCTGACATTCTCAAATTCTCAGTCTAATCTGGAAAAAAAAAACGTAATGTTGTTGTTGTTGGCTAATTTAGCATGTTTGTTAGTCTCCTTACAAAATAAGGTATGGGAATAAATTGTTTTGACAGCATACTGTCAAGTCCAGCCAACGCTACAGCACTTGCAAGAGTTACAGGTGACGTGTAACGTGAGTGGTGTATTATTATTATTATTATTATTATTATTATTATTATTATTATTATTATTATACATAAATATGAGAAGCACACCATTATGGAAATTATTGGCACGGGAAAATATTTTGTGTGCAGAGACTTTTTCAAGTTATCAGAACGAGTAGGTGTTGTATAGCATTGACAATATATATATATATATTTTTTTTTTTTTAACTTTTGTGTTTACTATTCTCTTGGTACTATTTTATTCTTTTACTGAAGTAAAGCAGTCAGTACTACCAAAGTCTTTCTTCTACACAATTATCTGTACTTAGACTGTGAGTACTTTAGTGTTTGACAGCTGCGAAGCAAGAACAAGAACGAAAGCAAGTATGACGTCTTGCTCTGTTCTAAAAGTTTCGTTTGTGCAGTGGACACGCACCGAACACTTGGTGGTAGTATAAAGCAATTAAAGCCGTGTTGAACGCCACACTCTTTTCTGCTTGAAGGAAAATCATCCATCCTTCTTCCATCCATTCATCTATCCATCCACCCATCCATTTTATGATCTGCTTATCCTCACAAAGGTCACGGGGCGTGCTGGAGCCTATCCCAGCTGTCTTCGGGCAATAGGGACACCATCAACTGGTTGCCAGCCAATCGTAGGGCACACATAGACCTGAAGGAAAATCAATATTTGCATTTATTCATCCTGCAGAACCGGTTTAAGTCTGCTTATTACCCAATAAAATATGATACAAATAAAGCCGACGACCAAATACACCACTTAACATGGGCGTCATTAGGCCTATTTTAGGGAGGCTTCAGCCTCCCTAAAAATGTCTTTAGCCCCCCTAAATAATTTCATTGCATTATTTAAAAAAAAAGTATTATTTATTTTTCCTGTACTTTTGCTAATATATTGCATCAAATTCAATGTAATGTGGCCATTTTAAATTATATTTCGATAACCTGCCATTATTGTAATGTTAAATCTCCCAGGTTTCCTGAACGCAACAGGTGTTGCGTTAGCATTTGACGTGTCTGTCACCATCGCCACATCAAATGCTAACGCAACAACTGACAGTTCATTGCCGAAAGTCAGGTTGAGTCGACAGCATGGATATTCGACAGTTTTTTAGAAAGGTAAATTAAGTATTCAATGCATCCATGCTGGTAAAACTAGTGACTATAGTCCGCTAAAATATCTCCAGTAACAGCAGAAACTGCACTCACTGTAACAAGTGTTCACTTTTGGATAAATTAAGGTGGTGCTTAATAAAAATTAAGCAACATTTTATAATTAAATACATAAATAATCATTACACCAACTCTTTGAGGCAACACCTATTGAGATTTTGGCCTATATAAAATAAAAAAATAAATATAAAATCAATTTATTTATTTGATAGGAATCAGGCTAAAGACGCACAGAGAGTGAGCCGGGGGGAGCTCTGCTGGACAGGTGAGTCTATCAGATCTCAAGGCTAATTTTACTTGCAAGGCTGTTCCCAAAATGCAATCGGAGCTTACAGTAAGTATTGAGCAGCCAACTTTTGTTTTTCCAAAGTGATGAAGCTTTTGCATCTCATTGTACTAACTTAAATTTCATATCACGGCAGACATCTCAAGCCAAGCTTATACAAATCAACACTCCTCACAACCAACCAATAATGGGGTGCATGAAAATAACAATTATTCACTTTGCCAGTACACAGCAAATAATGAGAGGTATTGTGTTGAGGCACAGGAACTCTTTTATTTTGTTAAGTTGTGCCTGCTTAATAATAGAAATAGCCCTTTTAGGGAAATAAGACAATTTTTACTTTAACTTTGTTAAACAGTAGTTGTCTTTTTTTCCCTTAATTTAACAAAACAATTGAACAAAATACTAATTTTACCAAAATAAATACTAAACATGAAAACAAAAATATCCTTTTCATTTGTACAATTCCCCTTTTCACATCCCCTCTGAAATCACTGAAAAATACAGTATATCAGAAGAGGAGTTAAGAACCATTTTAAAAACTGACACAAGGGAGCACAGGAATGTGCAGTGCTGTTCTTCCACTAAAGGTGAATGCAATGTTTGAGGCATGCAAATATTATTGAGGACGCCATTGTGATGTTCGTTTACCATGTTGCGGTGTTCTGCTGTTAAACAGCTGCAAAGATCCCCGGGTAGACGGGAGCAAAACTGCACACAATCGAAACCTCCCGCGATTCGTCTTGTCTAATTGTCTGTGTGCAGCTCTCCTGGACTGAAGCTGTGAGCACAACTGTGGCGTCGCGCATGCGTCTGTTTCCTGACACAATCATCCATTTTGAATGCGTGTGTGTTGGGATAGACGCGTGCTGACGCTTATGTATGGGCACACCTTAAGTTCAGAGGAGCCAATCAGCGCATCGTTATCGCCGACATGCCCTGCTCAGCCAGAGTCTCCAGTTAGTCAAACATTATACAACACACAGTCGCGCTGCTGCGGTCTTCTGCAATACATCTGTTAGTGCACGCAAAGAATAAAACGGATAATTTTAACAAGCCATCGCGGTAATGCGCAGATTATAGTCCACAAATATAAAATGTATAGCGTAAAAATCACTTTATAATTTATTATTTTATACAATTTGCCGAGGGTCCGGACAGAGGAGGTCCGGACAGAGGAGGTCGGCGGTCCGGTCGTGGATC